ATTTATTTTATAAAATCTTTCAATTTGATTTGATTTGAGTTATATAAATTTTAAACTCAACTCAATTTGACTCGACTTGATTTTAACTCAATTCAACTTTAAAAAAAATAATAAAAAAAATGAAAAGATCAGAGAGGGGAAAAGAGTGAATGATTCATTATTGTTCAAATTGAATGATTCGGATTATTATTCAAGTCGAACAATTCAGATCATTGTTCAAGTCAAATGATTCAGGTCATTGTTCAAGTCAAACGATTCAGATCATTGTTCAAGTCGAATGATTCAGGTCATTATTCAAGTCAAATGATTCAGGTCATCGTTTAAGTCGAACGATTCAGGTCATCATTCAAGTTGAACGATTTGGATCATCATGCAAGTTGAACAATTCAGGTTATCATTCTTCTTGAATGATAAAAAAAATCATTCAAGTTGAATGATTCGTCATTATTCATCTTGAACGATAAAAAAAATTATTCAAGTTGAATGATTCGTCATTGTTCTTCTTGAACAATAAAAAAATATCATTCAAGTCAAACAATTTGTCATTATTCTTCTTGAATTATAAAAAAAATCATTCAAGTCAAATGATTCGTTATCATTCTTCTTAAATGATAAAAAAAATCGTTCAAGTTGAACGATTTGTTATCGTTCTTCTTAAACGATAAAAAAATCGTTCAAGTTAAACGATTTATCATCGTTCTTCTTGAATGATAAAAAATATCATTCAAGTCGAATGATTCATCATCATTCTTTTTGAATGATAAAAAAATATCGTTTAAGTCAAATGATTCGTCATCGTTCTTCTTGAATGATAAAAAATATCATTCAAGTTAACGATTCGTTATTATTCTTCTTGAATAATAAAAAAATATCATTCAAGTTAAATGATTCGTCATTATTCTTCTTAAACGATAAAAAAATATCATTTAAGTTGAACGATTCATCATCGTTCTTCTTGAATAATTCATTATCGTTCTTCTTGAATGATAAAAAAATATCATTCAAGTTGAATGATTCATCATTATTCTTCTTGAATGATTCATTATCGTTCTTCTTGAACGATAAAAAAAATCATTCAAGTTGAACGATTCATCATCGTTCTTCTTGAATGATTCGTTATCATTCTTCTTGAATGATAAAAAAAATTGTTTAAGTCAAATGATTCATCATTGTTCTTCTTGAATGATAAAAAAAATCATTCAAGTTGAACGATTTGTCATCGTTCTTCTTGAATGATAAAAAAAAATCATTCAAGTTGAACGATTTATTATCATTCTTCTTGAACGATAAAAAAATATCGTTCAAGTCAACTTGAGTCAACTCAAGTCAACTCAAATCAAGTCGAGTTTAAATTGAATCGAGTTAAATATTTAACTCAACTTGAATTTGACTTGACTCACAAATCATCGAGTTAAAAAAACATAAACTCAATTCGATTTAAGTTTGACTCAGCTTATCTGACTTGTGAGTTAATTCGACTTGTCTGAAACTCTATTCTTGCTATTATTATAATTATAAATTAAATTTAAAAAAAGTTATATTTGTAATTAATTTAATAAAAGATTTTAATATAAAAGATCAAGGATTATTATTAAAAGAATATTAATTAAAAAAAATAATAAAACACAAAATTAAACTCAAATATAAAAAGCTAAAACTAATAAAATTAAAAAAAATGAGTTTAATATAAAGTAATTCTTTTATCATTATTATATATTTAAATTATAAGAGTTTGTGAATAAATTTACATTTTAGAATAATTTAAAAGATAATATTATAAAACTAATAATAAAACATTATTTTTATTGGATTATAAAATTCTTTAATTAATTTGTAAAATTTTTACTTATAGTGAACTAATCTTTTAAAATCATGTAATATTTAATCATATAATAATAATTAAAGAGTTAATCTAAACTATATATATTTAAAAAATTCTATTATTTATAAATAAAGTAATTATTTAACTAATATAATAGAAATGTTTAAGATTTTTTGAAGTAAAGTTTATTATCTAAATATTTATTGCTAGATAAATTAATATAATCTATAAATAATAATTTCTAAATATTTGATTGATTAGTTTAAAATATAAATATTTATATTTTATTAAATTTTTTTTAATCATTAACAATAATTATTATTCTTAAATAAATAAATTTAAAATAATATATATTTCTTGTATAATACTCTAAACAGTTCAGTTTTGATTATAGGACAATTTAAATCTAAACTGAATTGTAAACTGATAAAATCTGAGTTGAACTGAAAATTTCAGATTAATCTGAAAGTTAAGTTTATTTAAAACAGTTTTTTATTTTAATTGAATGATTCTTTTATTATTCTTTGAAATAAAATTTTTATTATTCTAATTGAATAATGTTTTTAGTATTCTTTTAGATGATACTTTATCATTCTTTTGGAATGTTATTTTTATCATTCTAATTGAACAATATTTTATTATTCCAATTGAATAATTCTTTTATTATTTTTTTTAGAATGATATTTATTATTTCAATTAAACAATTCTTTTATTATTCTTTTGAAAAAATGTTTTTATTGTTTTAATTGAATAATTCTTTTATTGTTTATTTGAAATAATAATTTTGATTGTTTTATTGAATAATGATTTTATTATTCAATTGAAATGAATCAACCAAAATTTTTAGATTAACCTGAAAATTTTCAGATTGATTTTTATGCAAACTGAAACCAAACCAAAGTTGATTTAAACTGTGCTATTCTTTGTTATATTTACCTAAATGCAAAAATAGTTCTATCAATAAACTCTAAATTTAATTTAAAGATAATTATATGCATTTAATATTTTTTGATTATGTCTTATTCTCAATATTGCTAATTATATAATATAAATTAAATATTTATTCCTGTATTTATATTTGTATTTGTTCATATATTAATGAACTTTATAAAGAATTAAATCATAATTTACAAGAGCCAAAATTTGATAAGATAAATGATGAATTAAAGTTTTTAAGAAGTTCACATAAACGGGTAATAATTATGCAAAATTTAAATTCTAATTTAGTTGCATAAATTTATAATACATAACGTAATACGGTGACTGCATAATATTTTTTACATATAACTTTTAACACAGACGAAATTTTATTATTAATAAAAAAAATTTATGTGCATAATCTTTATTGGTCGATTTTATATCATTTCGGTAGAAAGTGTAAATATCATATAATGAGATTCCCAAACCTTCCGGAACGGAGGGTTCGTTATATCCAGTGACGAATGTTAATGCTCAAATTCAGAACCATAGATTGATTAAGTCATATATAATCGTTAATATTTAAAATAAGTATACAGAAATAATATGGCTAAGATTTAGCAAGTTATCTTATTAAATATGTAATAATTAAAGATGTATATCATACGGATTTGCGTTGATCTAAAGATCTTAAGATCCTACAGATCCTACGGAGATCAGATCGGAAATAACCCGAATTATATAGTCTTGGCAAATTCTCTAAATTCGAAATATTACTCTTTTTATCAATACTAAGTCTGCATGTCATATTTTGTTGGCCAACTTTTTGAGAACCAAATTACTCATAAATTTATTATTATTATTATTAATAAAATTTCGCGTAGCATATTTAGAAACGGGAAAGATTTGTTTAAATAACTAATTGATGTTTTATTTACGATTTCTAAGATTTAAATTTCTAAAGAAACTAAAGAAACTATAATGCTATATTAATAAATTTACAAACTTATTCTTAATTAAATTTAACAAGAGAGTGATATTAGGAGGTAAGATAACGTAATTAAAAATATTTTATGGAAAATATATAATAAATAAGTACGAAATTCCATGAAAAAAAAAATATTGTCTAAATAAATTTTTTTAATGTAATTTGAAACTTTTTTTTCTTTAAAAAAAAAGAAAAAAAAAATTGTCCCTTCAATGATGTTTATTTCGGTTGTTCGTTAAGTAAAATTTCAGCACCAGAAACACAAGGTGCATCATTATTCATAATGTACAAGAAAGAGGGACCTGGTGCGATTATAGTTGGGTTTTGTGGTAATTTAACCGTTACAATATACTGATCGTTGGCTGTTGAATCCGTCCAAACGTTTTCAACCTCGAGCCAAACATAACGCTGACCCATATTTTGTGAATGTGTGATGAATCCATGATGAATAAGAGAAGCTGTGAATTTTGGTGAACCGCCTGCAACTTGTACAATCAAGGTAACCATTTGTTGATAATACACCTTAATCCTTTCTTTGTTAATTTCAAAGGTTTGTAGAGAAATGATGTTAGGTCTAGGAGTTTTTGTGTAAAGATAAGGAGGAGAGAAAATTTCAACCCGATATCTAGAGAAAAATTAATGAAAGAAAATATTTATTAGAATTAAAAGTTGATTTGAATAAAAAATTTTTCTTTTTTCATAAGAGAGATACTCACTCGGTCGGGTATTTAACATCAATTGCAACATTTCCCTGTGGGTTACTTCCGGTGACCAAGACAGTACCATCAGGCACCAAAGAAGAAACAGAATGATACATTCTGGGTACAATTGACGAAGAAAGAGGTTTAAACTTTTTAGCAAAATGGTCATAAAGGACCGGGAATAATACGGGATTTTCATTAACCCATAAAGCGTTGGCACCTCCACCTTTACGGTAACCAGCGAAACCGGTTCGAGCACCATTTACAAATAAAATGGTGCCATCCACTAAGAAGGTAGCATCAGGCATAATGCGTGGGGTACCACCGAAATCATTCATTTCCCATTGGGCTTTATCTGTCATTAAATCTAAAATACCACAAGAGGCTTCACCTTCTGAAGTGATTTCATAAGCTTTATTACCACCACAAATCATAACCTTGGCTTTGTAATTATCGGTAGGGGTAAGGGGTAAAATGACTGAAGTTCCAGTTAAGGGATAATTACGAAAACCACCTGGCATTTTTGGATATTCGTAAAAGACTTTTCCAGTACCAATATCAAAACTAATGCTTCGTTGGTTGGCATGAATAAAAAGGAGGGTTTTGCCTTCGAAGTTTGGGATTACATGTACCATGGGATACAGGTTGTATGGTAGCGTCTCTGTCAGGAAGGGTAACGAAAAGTCCTCCATGACAGTTCCGGATGGAGGGTAAAATGTATAAGATGGATTATTGATAGTATCCTTATTGACCCCAGTAGCAGCTTTTGCACCTCCAACAACCAAAACGTTACCACTGGGTAAGCTTAACATGGTTGGATACCATCTCATAGTTGGCATGACCCCTTCAAATTCATACCAATCTCCAATGGTTTGGTCATATAAGCGAACTGTTTGTCTACCGGAACGAAAATTAGCATCACCATTATCTCCACCTGCTTCAACTAAAGTTCCGTTGCCTAACCATGCCCCCGCTGAGCAAAAGGTATTTGTATAAATACTAAGAGCTCGAGCTTCATTTGTGTCCAAGTCATATTCTGCAGAAATTGCTGAGACACCATCTGGTCTCTTTAAATCATTTCCCTCAACTATTGGTAAGAAGAGTGAAAGAGAGTGAGGGAGAAGTTAAATGATTTACATTAAATGATTTACATTAAATAATTTACATTAAATAAATTACAACGAGATGAAAGGATGTTTATTTACGTTTGTCCACAAATACGAATTTTCTGGAAGATACCAAGAAGGCATGCATGGCATTGACTCCGGATCTATTGTAGAATGAAGATTTGTGTTGACAATTAGAAATGTAAAGAGGAATTAGGTCAAGATACAACAATATTGGTTTGGTTGTCACTTACTTTCCAACAATTTTCCATGTTCCAAGGCTTGTATCACCACCATCCTGACGTTCTAAAGAGAGAGGATATCAAGTTTGTTAAAAATTTATGCGCATCATTTCAAGAAAATTTCTGATGGTGGTAATCGCTTATGATAGTTACCTACTAGGGGAAGAGGTGAGGCAGGTAATGCATTTACATTAAATATAATTAATCCTCCAAAGAGGAATAAAAATAAAATCAATATAACTTTCATCTTTCTAAACCTTATCTTAATTTTTTTTTTTTTATTATTATTATTATTTTATTATTATTAAGAAAAGATGAATAAAGAAAAAATTCTCCAAAAAAAAAAAAAAATTTGGAGGGGATTCCTCAGACATTTTTATGGTTATTTTATAGCATTCCTTTTTTTTTTTTTTTTTTTTTTTTTAAACAGAATTAATATAAAAATGTTTCATTAATAGGAATCATTAGTTTATATTATTGTTTATTGTTTATGTATGTCTATTTCTGTTTACGCCTGTTTCGTTATTTTACAGGGTTTGATTGTATCAATAAAATAATATATATGAGTTTTTTTTAATGCACAAGTGTGCGAGTTGCCTTGTGGGGTTATGAACAAAGTTTTTTCGATTGGTGCTAACTGATTAAATAAACCTTCCACAAAAAAAAAAAAAAAAAATGGGAAAGAGAACAAGAATCGATTCGTCCACGTGATGAATTATAAGACATCGTACTCTAGAATCATACCATATTTCATGTCATCTTTCAAAAGTAGGCTTGTACGATATAATTTCTGTAGTGCCACTTTCGTCTTTGTGAACAAAATATCCGAACCTTTTACGCAAATTTCTAAAGAAAAAAAGTATTTTTAGAAATTTTATTTTTAAAAAATTATTTATTTGTTACACGCGGGTCAAAATGGATTTCTCCGCCTTCCCAAAAAGAATAAATCCATTGTAATAAATTTTTAATATCATTAAAAAAATAATAATAAACAATCAATTAAGTGTAAATACATGAAATCTTTTCTTTTATTAGTTACTTTTAACTTGATTCTTTTAGTTTGCTTTAAACCGGTTAATTGTTTTTTTAAATAACAGGTTTTTTATGCACCCTTCAATTTATTATGTCAAAATGACTGATCTCTATTAATAGTCATCTTTTTATTTTTATAAAAAAAAAAAAATTCATTCTTTAAATATTTAACCAGGGCATTTTTGATTTCTTTTTTTTTTTTTTTTCAAAAATAAATTTGATTCACATCTTTTTCGTTTGCATATTAAAAATATATCACATGTATATTATAATATTATTATGACAATCGTAGTTTAACATATTTTTTTTGCCCAATTAAATCACGATGGTTAAGATCATAATAGACAAAACTATCGAATAAGACAATACGGTACAGAAATGTTTTTAAACACCGCAGAATCTATTATTAAGGTTTAAGGTTTTTCGTACGATGACCATGTTTATCATTTTTCTCCTTCATTTTTCGATAAGATTTCTTTCTTTTCTTCAATTGATGTATATATCATCTTGTTAACTTGTTTTCAAAATTAATATCCTGTGGCGTGATATTTTGTCAACAAACATGGAAATGAGCGATTCCTATATTAACTTAATAATAAAATCTTACGATTCTTTGTTATTCAATCACATCTCAAGGAAATTGATTTAAAGTTTCCTCATGGATTGGATGTCAAATTTGGAAGTTTATGCAATTCCATTACGATTAATGTCTGCATTAATAAGGTGAGGTTTTCAAATTATTGAAATGATTGAGGCAAGCGCAAAGTTTCAAAAAAAATCATGAGATAAATATTTCCAAATTACAACGCTCGATTATATATATATATGTGTATGTATAAATAAATATTTTGCAGTTTTTTCCTTTAAAGGATGGGCCGAATCAAATAGTGCATTCTATTTATCCTTATTATCTTGATAAAAACGGTAATAAGACAAAAAAATTTAATGTGATACGGTTCTGGATTTGGATTAAAATTTAATTAAAAAAAAACAAGTCCGGTTTATGATGTTTACGGGGCAAACATTGTGATTAATTAATTCCGAATTCCTTTAGAGTCTTTTATTTAGAAACAAGTGTATCAACTTTTTATTAAAGTCTTGGCATTTTCACATCATGCATATGCCGCAGATCCGCAGCAAATTCAACAGGATTCACTACGGCCTTTTTTTTTTTATTAAAATTAATTAAAATTTAATTTTAGTTATCTATTTATTTATTTATTTTTTTATTTTTTTTTTTTGCAATGACATGTCAGAATTAGATCATCAAAGAAAATAAAATTTGGATTTGACACAATTAGATTGAAAAGCATCATTATACAGATACATAGATACACATGTGAAGAATATTGTTGAAAAACGGAAGGGATGAAATATAGAAGGAAAGATAATGACTTATTTACAATTCGATAATGTATGTTGAACATTTACTATGTTCGAAATCTATTTTCATTCCGCAAATGACCAATTTAGGTTTTTAGAATGGAAATATGATAACCAGAGTTTTGATTTAACAGTGTAATAATAATAATGATAATAATTTCAGGAAATTTTTAAGATGGGGAGTTGTTCTGACTTACTTAAATAGGGGAGGATCGGGTTTAAGGGGTCGGGCAAAAATGCAATCGCCGCCGATTACCTCCCTAGTGCATTTTAGTGCAATGCTCTTTGGTTAAAATTGGTATGATAAATAAACATGTACCCGACGAGGCTTGGATGAAAAGGATTAGAGCTTTTTCAATACGTAATTTATTTCGTGTAATGTTACCTGCTAAAAATGAAAAGTCTTTTTATTCTTTTGTTATTTCGGCCTGAATTAAAAAAGATTATAATTCACGGAGCCGTTTTATCATAACGTTATTTAAAAATTTCTTTTGTAAAAATAGATCAAAAATTGGTCGGAAGACCTTGCTTCTTCTTTTTAATTTTCCTTTTTTTGTTTTTTTTTTTTTTTTTTTTTTTTTTCTTGCGCGACCTAACCTTCAAAAATTATTTTTAGATATCACTCGTTTGTTAAAATAAATAAATATTGTTCGAAAGATAAAAATAGAAAAGTTGATTATCACAAGAAGGAAGATAATTAAAAATATATATATATAATATTTATCTGACTTTGACCAATAATTCTTGCTAAACCATCATAACTTCATTATAATGAGGATCTTGCAGATTTTCACGATTTTGATATACCATGTGTAAAGAATTTTCGTTTGATACGCCGGATTTCTTTAATTTATTTGTTTGTGATTTTCTTGATAAAAATTTATGGATTTATGAACGGGAAGGTTTTAATAATCAAATTATTAAAAAAAAAAAATTGTTCTATTTCTTGCGAATTATTATTAAATGAAATAATAACAATAAATCGGATTATTTCGGATTATTCGAACTCCGATTTTCCGATTTTGACAGATTATCAATTGAGATAATGGTCAAAAGATAATAATTAATTTTTTTCGAGGATTTTTTTTGTTTTTATTATTTCTCAAAAAAAAAAAAACCCCGAAAAAAAATTGGATTTAGTAATTAGCCCATTACTTTTTTATCTGTTTACCTGATTTATTTTTGAAACATTAAGTAAAACGTGTTTCGAATTTAGTTGATCTCGAATGTGGCTTAGTTAAATTTGCTAATAAATTTTGTGCTCTCCTTTAAATTAATTCCATAATAAAAAAAGAAAATTTAAAGCGTGATTCGAATTTTTTTTTTTTAATAACTTTCGCTATGCACATCATGTTTCAAAATCACCTAATTTGTCAATCGCGTATATTTACATATTTATATAAAATGATTGTCTGTTCTGGTAGGTGAATTCAAAAATTTTTTTGAAATCATTCATCATAATAAAAATATGAAATTAATCACAATCTTACTTTTAATTTGTTTTTTAACCATCACAAAGAGCATTCCAGGTAATAATAGGTTTTTTTTTTGTTTAAAAATAAAAACAAATTAAATTTTTATTCTTAACCGATTTAGTTAGATATGATGAATCCGGGACGAGAGAACATAAACGTTACGATGTCGGTTCACCGTGTTACCAATATTTTCATAATGATGATGAGTCCAAGCATTTGGTGGAATTTTGTGAAAAGACACGAGAAAATTTTAATAAATATAAATTAATGTGACATAGTTTACAATATTTATTCGAATCAGTCTTTAACTATACATATAGAATTACTTTAGAATTAGATGTTAATATTTAATCAAAATAAGAAAATGGAAAATATCAAATATCAAATATTAAATATACTCCTATCAAAATTAAACGGTCCATTTCATATTAATTTCTTTTCTACTAAACCGGTTAAATCACAACTAATATTCCACCAAATTTTTTGTAAATCTTCTTTATAACTATCTTCACTTGCTTTGTCAACCTTACAAAATTTATTAATATATATTCCACTTTGTTTTTCAAGATCCGGTGACGTTGATGCATAAACAATTACCATTCCTCCCTAAAAGAAATTAATAAAAAAAATTTTTTAATTTGCTCCTTTTGTATTGTGAATACAAAGATTTTATATTACCTGCTCGGGTGTCCTAGCAAAAGGAGCTAAAGGAAGAATAAATTTCATTAAGAGTTTAATGTATATGGCACTTTCCCTTGACAGATCAGTTTGAGGCATGAACCCAGGTTCGATAGCAATCAAAGAAACCTTCTCTTTTGCTTCTCTTTCTAGTATCTTATTTAATTGATTAAAACATAACATCTGCATTAATTTGGAATGCCTATAAAATAAAAGACCATCATAACCTTTGCTACCATCTAAATTTTCTACGTCTAAACTCTCGAAATTTTTATGTCCTTCACTCTGTTTATGTAGCGAACTACTAACAAAAATAATTCTAGAAATGAAAGGATCAGCTCGTTGTTGTTGCTGTTCTGAAGTCCATATAATTCTATCTAATAATAAATGAATCAAAAGAAAATATGAAAAATGATTGGTTTGAAATGTCGTTTCAAAATTATCTTCGGTTTTACTTAATGTTGATTTTATCGTTGCGGCATTTAATATTAGTAAATTTAAAGGAAGAGTTGAATCTCTCGTAAGTAATCCTTGTGCGAATGATTTAATTGAAGTAAATGATGATAAATCAAGTTTTGATATTTCAATTTTATGCTGTGGTGGAATTGTTAGCGCTAAAACAGCCTTTTCCGTTGCTGGAATATTACGTACAGCGAGAATAAAATGATATGGCGTTGAA